CTTGTCTCTGTAATAAAGTTTCCAGCTGAGAAAAATGGGCACTTATGGAAAAGTTATCATGCCACATACTGTCAATTTTTTATAGCCAACTCTGACATTCTTTCCTTTTGGTTTTCTGAACTTAGAAGTTCTTCACTCTTAATTTAATTGAAAATGCCAGTGGGTAATTTTCGTCCCTTGCCCACCTCATGTTTGATCCTCGGGTCTCTCTGCCACCTACCTTATCTCTTCAGTCATAATTTCTATTTCTTTGTATTTCCGTTCTGTGTTGTAAGACCATTCATCTCTCTGGTCTTTTCAGAGCAATAATTCAATTCTCAGTAGTGAAGATTCTCTTTGTTTTCCAATCAGAAGTCATTATATGTTTTAGTTCCAACAAGTCATTTTTGTGCCCCACTTACATCCTCTCGAGGATTTTCCTTCCTTTTTTCATTAAAGTGCTGCTCCGTCTCTCCCACTAGAGCCATTGCAGTCGGAGCCAATTGTACTATTTGTTCAGCTGGGCTCCCTGCCTCAAGTCCCTGAGTCCCTTTAAATACATGGTGACAAAAGCACCCTCACATTCAGACTTTGGGCAAATGAAACAAAGGAGTGGTCGATGATAGAACATGTTTTTCCTCATCCTGTCCACTAGGCCCAAGAGCTCCACTGAGGCCTCCTGGATGTGGATGTGTCCAGCCACACAAGCTGGGGGAGATGTGTGTAATTAAATAGAATCAAATCAACTATTGTTTTGGAAAAGAAGAAGTGTCCTTTCCTGATAGTTTAGAAATCAGAGAGTGAGCAGATGGTTAAATGTGAAGGCTCAGTAATCGCTTCTATTATTTATGGTGTATGACTGTCAAAAGTCATGAAGATGTGCCCCATTGAATCACATTCTAATCTGACTGAGAGAGATGTGGCCACTGATGGGAGAAACACATTACATAGATTCTTCAATTTTTTTAAAGGAAAATTTCAGAAAACTTGCCCAGCTGAGAGTCCCAGAAGATGCAACTTTGTCCACCAAGCTCAACCCTGGCCTTCCTTCAAGCAGCGCTAATTGACCCACAAATGGGCAGATACAGACATAACGGGGCCACGCTAAGCAGGTAAATGAGTAGGGAAAATAACGCGCGAAGAAAAAAAAATTAGTAGAGAAACAGAGTTAAGAAAGACATTGAGAGAGAAAGGTTGAGAGAAAACGAAAATTACCTATCTTGCTTCTTGTTGGACTTATAGTTTGCAATTTCAGTTGCTAATGAGACCCTGCTCCAGTTACAGCCCCTGAACTTGAAGCTTTTTCTAATATAGTTCATTTATATAATATATTTTCCCTTATATCAGCTAGCTTGAGTGTATTTCTATTTCTTGCAACCAATCTCAAACTAAGACCCAAACCCAAGTTAAATTTACAATAATCTGATCAATTTTACCAGGCCTTTCTTTCTGACTTCTATCCTGAGCTTCAGGCTCAAATAGCCAACTGTCTTTTGGAAATCTTCATTACATATTTAATATCATCTCAGACTTAACTGTCTGCAACATAATTCTCATTTTCTTTATGTTTTTCACATAAGCATATTCCTCTACCAGTTTTCTCAGTAAATGCACCAAAATTTACCCAGATGCTCAGATTGAACACCTAGTTGTCATTTTGACTCTTCTGTTTTCCCCACATACTATCCCACATCTGACTTACTGCTATGAGAGATATTACTATTTTTCATTGACATCCAGTTCTCTCCATTCTGAACGGATGAGAGGATTGCATTTCCTTGTCCCCTGGGTGCCTCACTCTGAGCAATGAAATGTGAGGGAAAGTTATATGTGACATTCCTTTGTAGAAGCACTTAAGAGCTGTTACTTGATTGTCTACCTTTTCCTGTCACGCGATAGATGATATTTCACATGGTAGAGCATCTGTCAGCCTGGGTTCCTGACTCACCCAGAGCCCTCTGCTGACTCAAGATATACAAATAGTGTGTGCAAAAATAAACCTTTGCTGTTTTATGGCACTGAAATTTGGAGGTTGCTTGTAAGTGCAGCATGAGCTAGCCTACCCTGATAACAATCCTCAAGTCCTGTTGGCTCTATTGTCAAAATATATTCCAAACCTGATGCTGTTACCTCTTTTTCCACCGTCACTGTTTTCCAAAGAACCTTCTTCTTTGCCTGGATTTACTGCAGAAACCTCTTAATTGGTTTTCTCTTTTCTACTCTGACATCTCTGAAGTCCATTCTCCAAGCAGCTAAGCCAGACTTTTGTTATTTTAAAGTTGAATCCAATCATCATGCCACTCCCTGTCCCAAACCGTCAACAACTTCTCATTAAACTTAGAGGAAAAATGAAAGTTTCTCCATGAACCACAACACTCTATGATCTATCTGATGGCTGCCTATTTGTCCAAATTTGTCTCCTGCCGTTCTTCTGTCTCTCTGCTCCAACCACACTCTCTAACCATTGCTGGTAAACAGTAAACTCATTCTGCCCTCAGGGGTTTTCTCTTGCTGTTCCTTCTGGCTGGAACGTTGTACCTCAAGAACTCTGTGTGGCTTGGCTTGCTCCCTCCCATCAGACAAATATTTGTTCCAAGATTACAGAACAGTCTCTACATTATCTAAAACTGCATCCCCCAATAACTGACTGTCCAACTACCCTGTTTGATTTTGTAAAGTACTCTTTGAATTATCTCGTTTCTTTATTTGCTTAGTTTATGTTTCTCTCTTCCTAGACTATGAACATGATAAGAAAAGGATTTTGTCTTTCAGTGTTCCGTCTCTGGTATCTAGGAAAGTGTCTGGTGTTTAGTGGAATTCAATAAATATTTATGAAGTGAGTGAATTAATGAATAAATAGTTTGAACAATCAGAATGTCAAAACAATACTGCAATGAAGAGACAACTGAATAAGAAGTAATGCTCTTTCATCAGTCCTTAACCTATTTTGTTTTTAATAGCAAAAATAAATAAAAATACTGCTATATAATCAGTTTGTATAGCTTTTATCTATGTCATACCACTTATAACTCATTTATTAAGTAAAACCTGACTTGTTCAAATTAGCTTGTTTAAATTAGGCAATGCACATTGAAACAAAGAGCTTTTTAAGAGAGAATCAACACCGGATACGTTTGAAGTTTCAATGGCAACAACTAAGATGTGTTCCTCAATCCAAAATATGTAAATTTCCTACCAGGGACCCAAGAAATGAGAAAAAAAATATGATAGCAAAAGAAGGACTCAAAGACAGAGTAGGCTAGTAAGAAAATTGGAGCAAAACTATAAAGTGGGAAACACTAAGCTGACAAATTTCTAGGAAAAATAATTTTCTGAATAATTTAACTAGAAGAGTGTCCATCCGTAGAATTCACCAAAAAGCTGTAAATGCAATCACTATGTTTACTCTTCATTATCACCTCCTTGATTATTTGTGCGGTTATTTGTATTTCCATCACGTGCCAAGATGACACATCTGAACTTCAATCAGTGGGGAATATCTTTGGATTATTATTTTAGCGAAAATAATGGATTTGCACCAATACACTAGCTCAGTTATCAACTTTTACTCATCAAACACTCTACATTTTTGCAAAGCAGATGGCCCAGGTGAAGAGCATTTACTGTGACCAAGAGACATACTGAAGGCACCAGCTTTCAAGGGCCTGAACTTCTCTCCCTGGCCTCCAGAGCGTTCCAAGGAGGAATGGCTGTTGGAGTCAGGAGAACTGAGTCAGAGTCTTGACTCTGTTAATTTGAAGTCTTGAGTATGTCATTTAACCTTTTAATATTGGATGAGGATAAGGATAACAATCTCTATCATAGATGTTTCACAAGAGCTTTATGAAAATAAAGAGTACATGTCAAATACATGTTTTGTAAACTGGCTATTTTAGGTTTTTTAAATTATTATTCTGTTTCTTTGAGGTTATTAAAGGTACCCTCTAAATTGAAGTTGTCATATGCCTTTCAAAGTAAGAGAAGAAGAAAGAGCAAGCACCAAAATGCTTATGTTTGGCCATGTGACCTTTACTTCTACTTGAGATTAACAATGTTCATACCCACTTAAGATATGTTGAAATTATAGCAATTAGTGGAAAACAACACTATTGTTTCTTTAAACACACAAAGGCACCAAGAGCTATCTCTCATTAGGAAACTCCCATAGCCTGTTTCCATACACAAACATTTCCAAATAAACCATATCCTACCCAAGGAGAAAGCTAAATTTCTGGTCCATCATAAAATGGAACAAAATTCTTTATAACATTCATGTGAATATCTGAGGGCAAAAACAAAATCAGCAGAAAAAGGCACAAGATTATGCATTTTATGAAACCTATTAACCTCTGAAATCTAAGCCTCCATAGTGTCTCCAATTATTGTGTTGCTTTGTTTACTTGAGTAATTCTCCTGTTCATCATTAAACATATCCCAAAGATCTTATTAGATAAGCAGAATAGCAGGCATGATGGATACTCTGATGGAAGCATTAGTTTCATAAAAAATCCTGATCGTAATGATTTAGCTATCAGTTCTCCGAACTCACTCCAATCTCACACTCGGAAGTTACTTTATAGAAGTGATTAGTTATAAAGAGAGCTCAGGATATGAAATAAATGCTCTAAACCAGGAATCCTCTGTCAACAAAGATAATCTAACTCTTTAAGGAAAAGAGCATAGGATGATCTTTTATTCTTAATCTAAATGAAATCCATCCTGTTCTTTCTTTTGCACACAAAACCCATAGTATCCAAAGATGTAAAACTGAGATAATGGCTAAATGAATCTGATCATTTTGCCCACCTTTATCACCAAAACCAGTCACTATAATCCCTTCAGTCAATTCATTACAGGGAAATAGTTAATCATCCATGTAATCCAAATGAAGCATAGTCGGCCAGCTTTGGCTCAATGAGTAGGTCTACTTGATATTTATGGAATAAATTTATCTGCTTTTCTGAAATTGAAGATCAAATTACATCATCTTGAATGTTCCCTGATTGTGTTGTTTCCCCTACCTCGTGGTGATTCTTGGCCAGCCATTCCTTAATGGTGCTGAGGGCAATGACTGCAGCAGGCTCATTTGGGAACCCTAAATGAAAAGCAGAATAAAACATATTACCAAAAATAAAAGAAGGCAATAGAGAAGTCAATCATGGCATGGTACTAGATTTTTCTCATTTAAAGAGTATTCAATTCAACGAATTAGTACTGAGCCAGACAGGCCTTAGTAAAGTATACACTGATGTGAAGTTTGTGAGCATACATACGAGACATTTAGGGGGCTGGTCCTATACCAGTTTAGAGCTAAAAAGCAATAAAAGATTTAAATGCCTCTTCAATTCTACAACAATATAAATTAAAAATGTATTGACATTTGCTTCATAGCTTTCAAAGCACTTTCATATAATTTTCTCATAAGAAGTCCTCAGATTAAGGTTTATTACCCTTAATTTACCATCCGAGTAAATATGGCTCGGAGAAAACATGTGGCTGACCCAGGGTCACAAGGCCCGCAGTACTCCACCAATGAACTGACACAAGACAGAGCAAACAACTTGCCAAATAACCAGACAACTGAAAGCTATTATCAGAATTCAAAGAAGGTAATGCCTGCTCCGTCTAGAGACATTTGAGATGATGTTTGAGATTCAGACAACATGAACAGACCAGATTTTGTAGGATGGATTTGGTTTTAGAAGGGCAGCAAGAACTACACACTTATACTATGTCCCAGTGAATATGAGCACACATAATCAGAATGTCTAAATCTCATCCAGAATGTCCCTTTAGCTTATATAAACTACATACATTTGTGAACTTGCAAAATCATCAGACATTCTGCCAATAGAGATAAAAATATGTGAAGGAATAACCTCAGAGGTTATATATTTATGGGGCAGAAAGAAGAGGAGTTGGAAGCAACTATTCTATTGAAACTACTCTCTTTAAGCTTATCACTGGCTTCCTAATCACCAAATCCATAGCCTTTCAATCAATCTTCATTTTCTCCAGTATTAGATGTGCTCACTAAGTTTTTCATGTTTCAATCTCTTTCCTCCTGGATTTTCTTTGTTTTAAGCTTATTTTTCATTGTTTTAAAGTGTACAATTCAGGGGTTTTTAATATCTCCACAAAGTTGTGCAACCATCACCTTTAATTCCAGAATATTTTCATCATCTCCAAAAATAAATTCTTACCCATTAATAGTCACTCCCCAATCTCCCCTCCCCTTGCCAAGCCCCTAGCAACCATTAATTTACTTTCTTTCTCTATGGGTTTGCAGATTTTCCTCCTGGATTTTGCAACACTGCTTTCTTCCCTGTCTTCTACTACCTATTTGATCTCCCTTGGCTCCTTTTTCTAGAAACATCCATTAAACGTATGCCATTCAAACATCCTAAACTCAGCCCTTTTTTCCCTCTATACCGTCTGCTTTAACCAGCAGCAGACTCATCCATCAACACATCTGTGAGGATGTCTTCTAGTCCGAGAGGCTCCTTTGACGTTGTCTGTGTAGATGTAGAAAGAGAGCGGTGTTGCTGAAATGGAGAGATCTGAGATTTAAAAGACCCAATTTTACTGGAAGGAAAATACATCTTCCAATAGTTCATACTAATGGTTCAAATCTTAGTAGACATTCAGAGAAAATGAGGGAGAGAAGAAGAGCAAGAGAGAGGAGGTGTTTGTCCCCATTTCCAGGAATAAATGTTGCTTTTCTGATTGACTTCCTACATGCTTTGTTAAGAGAGTGCATTAGGAAGGGGGACAAAATAAAGTAGGGTTGACCTCCACTTACTTTTATTTATAAGCCAGAGAGAACCAATGTCATACAAAAAATGTACACAAGTTCTCGAAACTTTGTAAATTCATCTACAACATTTGAGATTGTGGATTTGTTTTGAATTTTTTTGTCCCATTCATTTCCTTAAATGAAGGCTTCAAAATGTAAAAAACCCTTAAAATTAGTAAAACTTCTTAGTTAATTAGTTAGCTAGTTCATTGAGGAAATTATTATTGAACCAGAAAAGAGACACTTTTAATGAGTCCCTGTCCTCCAAAGCCCAAGGTCTGGGTGAGAAAATAGACAAGAGGCAACCCGTGGCAAGCGCATTAGGGATGTGGGGACACAAATGAAGAGAACTAAGCAAGAAAAGGGAGGGTTTCTAGGAAAAGATAGAATGCTCGGGGAAGGGAGCTATAAAGTGGGGAGCTGAGGAGACTTTGTCCCGATAAGTAAGCTATGAGCAGCAAGGAATTAATGGAGAAGATGGGGGAAAGTAAAGAGGGGAAGAAAGCAGGAGGAGTCCCCCTGGGCTGCAAAGCAAAAGAAGGAGGCTAGGATGGGCATTAGTGGTTAGCAGTTAACCACAGAAGGCTTTTTCAGGCCACCTCTTCCCTGAGTTTAGCACGTACATTTGTAATCAGCTGGATACCTCCCCTTGATGTGCTCCAGAACCAGAAATGTAAAGTGTATTCTTCCACAAAATGAACCTCCTCTCTGACTTTCTGGTTTCTGCCTGAAGCTTTATCTCTCTCCTAGTCACCACCGTATTTCACTGCTTTCCCTGCCAGCAAGTGAATCCTAAAGACATGACCCTCTGAAATATTTTACACCACCTCTTCTTTTTCTTCTTTTCCCACTGGTATCATTCAAGGTCTGATCAGCCCTCACCCTGACAACTGCAGTCAACTCATAATTGAGCCCCTTTGGTCTTCTTCTCTTCTACAATCTTTCTAGCACACCGCTTCCAAGTGATTCGTCCTAAAGTATAGTTATCGTCATACCACAACCCTACACAAGACAATGGCAGCCTATGCTGACTCTCGAGCTACTACAGAATAAACTTTATCACCTTAGCTTGGCATTACACACTTCAAGGGGCCTTTTTAGATTTTTGTCTTAGTTTTCCCTATTTATTCTCTTCCTATACAATTCTTCTCCAACTTTTTCATATGTTTAAGAAGTACTTAAATCATAAATTTATAGAGCTATATAAAGCTAATAAATACTGTAATCATGCTCAGTTGCGATGGCCATCAGCATTAACCTTTAGAAGACGTAATTCCCCACAGAAAAATTATACAAGTTCTTATAGAACCATGGCAACTACGGTCAGTTCTCAATTATTTGTGACCTCTTGGTCACTTTCCCACATTCATCAAAGCCTCTGGCACTGAGTTATGGTTTTCATCTCCACCTCAGTGCTTGCCATAACCCTGGGAGATTTTAACATCCAAGAGAGGACCCACCCAGCACGTGGCCTGCCAGTTTCTTGACCTGCTCATTTTTGACAACAACCTCCATTCCACCTTGTCCTTAGATTACACCCTGGACCTTCATGTAATATTTCCATTCCAAAATTACTAATTTAAGCAGTTCTCTCTCAAAACCTGTTCTCTCTTTAGTTTGTTTGTTCAGCTACTTTGCAAGGAATGTCCTTTACAAACATTTGAAGCCTACTCTGTCCTCCAGCCACTCCCCACATTAATGTGAACATCTCTCCCTGAATGTTCTGGCTCTCTCCTGTCTCTCTAGACTCATCTCAGGCTGCATCGTTCTTTGCTTTCTCCACGCCAGCTACACTGGCCTTCTTTCTGTTCTTTGAATGTAGCATGTTCTCTCTTGCCTTCCTGCCATTAGGCCTTGCTCATGCTGTTTCCTCTTTCTGAAGTGAAATTTCTCTCCTTTTTTCCTAGATTACTTTAACTTTTATTTGTCTTCTACTCAGAGATCAGTTCTCCAGGGAACACCTCTCTGACACTGAGGACTCCCTATTTTTATGCTTTCATAACACCATGTAGCTCTCCCTCGCAGCACTTATCATAGTTGCAATTTTACACTTATTTATGTAAATATTTTATTAATCTTAATAGAGTGAAAGCCCTAAGGAGGAAGATACCACATCTGGTTTTAGTTAGCACTATATCCCTAAGACAGTGCTGGCATGTAGGAGATGATCAATAAATACGTGATGAATGAGTGAATGGATTGTGGACTTGTGAATCTTTGTATTGACAGCAGGAAAAGGCTAACTACTGAGAGAACAAGGGTGGTTAGCCCTAGAATATGGAGAGGGTGAAGAGATTCTGAGAAGATGTGCAAATAGAAGGATATATCCACATTATCTTATTTCATTCCTGAGGAGAACTATTGAGAAGCTATGTATGAGAAAACATAGTTCCTGGTGGGAAGATATGCTGTAATTAACTAAAAGGGGGGAAAAATCAAGACAAATATCCCTGAAAATATGCCTGCTTTCAGTGGACATATATATACAAGATAAAATATGATGTTCAGAGTAAACAGCAACATCCCAATCCTTTGTCCACTTAACTGCTAGACCCCAAAGCTTATAAGTAAGATCGATAAATAGACAAGGATAGATCTTTGCCCAGGGATGGGCTCCTGATGACAGTAAGGTCTGCTTCAGGAGATCACAACCATATTCTGGTCACTGGGGGACTCTTGTTCACAAAAGCAGAATGGCTACCCAGAGGGAAGGTTGCAGACAAGCTTCAGATGAATCATTGAATTAGATGACATAGAAAATCTCTTCCAAGTATGAGGGTCAATGAGGCTGAACAAGCCATTAATAATTTAGGGCCAGGCATGCAGGGAGTTGTGTGTGTGTGTGCACCCGGGTGTGCATAGAATCTGTTCTTCTGCTGGCATTCCAAAGCTTAGCTTCCTATTCATTAGGACGGATTATTAAAATCAACTTTTGTTGTACATGGTGAAATTGACTTATGCAACGTGAGTGATTTTTTCTTTTTATTTACTTTTGTGTTTAAATTGCTTGCTGAATTTTTACATATGTACAAATATATGCATACATGTAACAATTACCCATACCCCATAAAGCTGCCTTTTCCCAAGTCAATATCTACCCCCAATGTAACTGCTATTCTCTCATCCATTATCATGGGTCAATTTTGTCTGTTTTTACACTACATATACATGAATATACAAAGTACACTCTTAATGTCTATATTTTGTTCAATATTATGCCTGCCTGATCTATCCATGTTACTACATATAGCAGAAGCTCATTCTTTTTCATTGTAGTGTTACACTCCATGGAATGAATA